CGATCTATTGTAGAACTGTCAAGTTGACTATGCTTGGCACTTGTGATGCTATCCCATAATTGAAAAGATTGGTTTTAGGCACATAATTTTTGTTGATATCATATTTCCTATCACATGCATATGATTCTAATAAATCTAATTTTCCTCCTTGCAATTTTTGAGCAAGATTTCATATTTTTTTATCTTAGGCATATTATTCTAATGACAAATATAAATTTCCTCTATCCACTGTTTGAGTCGCAAGAGTTCAGCAAATAACAGCAACATTTGTTTTTCCTTGTGCAGCTGCGTAAATGTTTTGCTGACTAATCCTATTTGGGTAGTTGTGACCAGAATGCAGGTACACTACTATTTGCACCTTGCATGTGGTTTTTGATGATCAAAACCATGAAAATTTAACTTTGTTCTCAAAGCCATCTTGGAAATGTTTAAAAAGAAAGAGAATTAAGATATTTTTGCTTCTTAACTAACTAAGACAAGAAACAGAACTTGATGATATTGGTTTCATTGTTAGACAAGTATGAACTAGATCAATCTCTCTCTGTTCAATGTTTTCATATTTGTGCTTCTTTTTCTCTTGAATTCTCATGCAGACTCATACAAAGAAAACAGGAAATTGTCAACCTGACTCTACTTCATCAGGGGATAATATTCTTGCTGCTCTAGAACCTCCTCCATTTGGGACTTGCCATGCAGTTATGTACACGTGTTTGTTGTAGCTTATATTTTTAACGATCTATCTAATATCTAATGCAGACTCCTGAAGCTCCACTTTATCATAACTTTTTAGTGTATAGTTGGTCCTGAAAATGTTAAATTTTTGGATAAAGATTTTGCTGCATATTTAACCATGATGCTTCTCCATTATTATTTTTCTAAGTGTTAAAATTTTGGTTACATCTTTCTTTCATGGTTTGTGTGATTTGGACTTTTTGAGTGGCATCATGGAACAGAGCCAATGCAAAACTACAAAGCAGTTAAAGAAGGAGATGGAGACTGAGTAGGCCCAAGGGTGTATGATTTTTAGGCCTGTGTAGTTTCATAGAGCCTTGACTTGTACCTTTAAAGATTTGGAAGTCAAAAAAGCTTGCAGTTATAGAAATATATCTGATCTATTAAGTTTGATGTGTAATATTGACATGGTTAATACAAATTTGAGCAATATCAGCATTATCTTCTGGATTTGATGTTATAAACAGAGCAAATAGTTTGATAGCAAAATGTGCTGGTCTTTTATAAGAGAATCTGGATTGTTTGACCAACTGATAACTTTTATTCATGGTAATCACAGTTTATTAATAAACTAAGCTGTCACAATTAATGTTGTCAACAATGTTGATATAGAATACTTACACTAGTATTATGATTACTTAATTGAATTTCTTCTAGTGTTAATTATTCAGGAAGAGTCATACGAACTATGTCAAGTTTTTGCTAGAGAGAGGAATGAGAAATCAGAAAATTGTTGTATACAACAGAGCATGAAGGTCAAATATACCATGCTGCTTATGATTTCAGCCAGAGATTGTAGTGTTCCACTATGAGATTCATCTGGTTGTGAAGTCTTGAAATTGATATCCTTACAGTGTAGAACCTTAATTATATAGTATGAAGATTCTGTTTAATGGTTTTTCTTGTGTAGATTGATTTTAACTTTTGTATCGCTGCAGAATATGTGCAACATGTCAAAACACCTTAAGTACATATGATTTGTGCTTTCTCCTTTTATTAGTTTCTTTAGATGGCTTAGCAATGCAGAGTTGTTAGACAGCACTTTCCCAACTATTGCTTCTACATATTTCGTTGACACGAGAGTTGTGCATATTTTTTTACTTCTGCGATGCTTGCCCACAGATCCAAGAAGTCTATGATGAAGGTGGAGTTTGGGGATTCTGGAGAGGTGTTTTTCCGACGTTGATCATGGTATGGAACAAATAACTGCTTTAAGTTCTACAATGTGGTCAATGATTGTTCTCATTGTCGACAACAGGTCAGCAATCCTTCTATACAATTTATGCTGTATGAAACCCTTTTGAAGAAGCTGAAGAAACGTCGTGCGTCAAGCAAGAAAGGTAGCAATGATGTGTCCGCTTTGGAGGTAGTCTTGCTTCATTTCCTAGTTCCTGCTGTACTTCCCATCCATACAATTTTGCTTTATTTCCTTTATTTCCTTGTTCCTGTTGTACATCCCATCCAAACAAATTTTATCTTCACCCTGAGATTTTGGGTATTAGCATGTACTTTTGTTATTAAATGTAAATGAACTGATCTGGTGCATAGGTTTTTTTGCTTGGAGCTGTGGCAAAACTAGGTGCTACGGTTGTAACATATCCTCTTCTTGTTGTGAAGGTAAAATGAGTTTCTACATCATGTTTCTTTATAAAACGGCTTGCATTATCTTATAAATTTCTAAATGAAATTTCAACTATTCTACATTTGTGAAAATTCTTGAAGACATGCGTTGCATCTTGCTATTATACCATAAGGTTTTAGTGCTTGAGTAATTATTGGTCTCCTTACAAAAAAGGTTAAGACTGGCAAGCTATGTCTAGAGAAAAAGGTAACTGAAGCGACCTTAGAAAGCATGCTAATAGAGTAAACATTACACTTGTGAGTTCAGGAGATTGTAATAGAAGGGTTGGTACCATTGTCTGTGTATACATAAAGTAAGCCTAGATAGCTAAAGAGCCTTCCCCATTACATGAAATGGGACTTCCAAGACATTGTAACCATATGAAATTAGAAAATGTGTCCAAAAAAAAGTTTGGAAGATGGTAAATCATCTGATATAGAACAGCTAGAATGATAAACCATCTTGTAGAGAAACAGCAAGTACATGTGCCCTATGAGTTGATTCTCAACAATCCAGGAGGATCAGGACAAGAGTTATTTAACATTACAGCTGGATGCATGAGAGATACTACTTTGGAGGGGCAGTGGGAACTGTAGCTCTTGGATGGACTAGTGTGGTTGGCGTGCTTAGAGTTGTAATATGTAGTCTGGACGGACAATTTCTACATGATATATGAGGATTTGGATACATATTTGACAAGCAGAGGGCTATGAGCTGGTTGGTTATGGTGAGTGAAATCAGGTTAGGGTGGACTGGGACTGGTTATCAGCCATATATAATGTTTTGCCTTGCTTTGAAATGAATTTACGTTTCTATGGAGGTACTTTTCTGATACACATTAAATAGCATTCCATTTGGTGCACTAGCTGTCATAATTAATTAGCTATCAGGGAAAACACTTTTTTCCTTGACGTATATTTAGTAGGTGGTATCACTGTTCACAGAGCATTTTAGGCAATCGTGGCCCCAAATGTAGCACATTTTTCAGAATAATTGATTCCTTTGAGAGACAGTCATGCTGCAGTGCTTATTAATTAAAGGCAAACCAATTCTTCAAGAATTTGATGGTCTGGCTTGTTTAACCACACTGCAGCTCATCATTACCACACAAGTGTTTCATTTTCTATTTCTTTCTATTGTTGCAGTCTAGACTTCAAGCAAAGCAAGTAGCCAGTGGAGATAAAAGACATCATTATAGAGGTGTGTAGATTGATTATTTCTTTAAATTCTGATGAGAGCTGGAATTTATCCTACAGTTTCTTTTTGACTGCACCTTTTTTTGGACATTTTGACTAACCGTTGGGATATGGAAATGTCACCAGTCGACCCACAATGGAAATGTAGTAGTTGAACCTATTTCATTTGTCTGCAGCTAATACTTGTTCTTCATTGGTCACACAAGACATTTATACCCAATATGCAATTTGAATATATTATGTTGCATCTGGCCGTTTATTTGCCCATTTGCCCATTTTGGGAACTTTGCTATGGGTTTAGAAGATGCTACCTGGTGGGAATTCCAGATTTAGCTTTGAGCTAATAAATGTCTCAGGTATAATATCGGTGAGAAAAACAGTCGAATTTAGAGGTACAGGTTCAAGTAAAAGTTGCCAGAATTTACTTGGATTTGTGTTTGTTTGATTCCTGTTCCTACCTGGTCATCCATTTGCTTTTGATCAAATTCAGGGACCTTGGATGCTTTCATCAAGATGATACGTTATGAAGGGTTTTATGGATTTTACAAGGGGATGGGCACGAAAATCGTACAGAGCGTTCTTGCTGCTGCTGTTCTATTTATGGTCAAGGAAGAGCTTGTAAGGGGGACCAGATGGTTATTAACGAAGGATGCCGTCAAAATGGTGAACTCAAAGCCTTCATCGTGATTCTTCTTCGTAAATCGTACCTTTGCTTGCTGCAGATACTTTCGGAAAGATGATGATTCTTGTATTGTACTGGGTGGAAAATATATATTTTAAGGAAAATAAAATATGTTTAGCCTGTTTTAGCACTTATGTCAGATATTTTACCTTGTAATCTTTTCACCAATACGTGACAGATGATTGAGCGACGTGTCACAGTTATTCAGTTATTAATCTCACCGGATTGATTGAAAAGCTTTAGGGATTTGTCCTTTTTTAAGCTAGTAATGCACTGCGCTTTGTACTTTGATGCATACAACTTGTATATATATATACACTTGAAGCATCTACTGGATTTGTATGAGCTAAGTTGCCAGGCTGATTTGTATGATACAAATCACAATTGATTATATAAACATCAATGGATTTTTGAACTCGATAAATCAGCCATTGTTCTTTTCCTCTTATCTTGAAATGCAAAGCGTTAGAAGTTTATTTTTTGTATCATGTTGGTGTATCTAGAATTGCACCGCAAACAAGCAACAAAGCTAAAAGAAAAAAGAGACATGGAAGAGAGTAGGCTGCTAGATTATTTCATGGAGCGTGGCAGCTATTTACTATATTGTTAAGTCAGGTAGAGTAGAAAAGAGACAAAATAAAAGGATAAAAATGAAAATAAGATTTTATTATATATATAATTTTTTTTTTTTAATGTGCACGCTAATGGGGTGCTTTTCCCACTATAGCAGAAGCCCAAAGATATAAGGCTTTTAGGCCCAAAGATCCTCCTGACATGAGTGCTGAAATACGAACGACCCGCGTCGTAACCTTTGTAACTCTCTGCTCCATTTTCAGACAAAAGCCCTAGTTCGTGGAGAAAAATGACGGACAAGAAAGGAGACACTACTGCTTCCTCGACCACCAGCAACAGCAAAAACACTCCTAAAAAGGCTAATCTTCTGGATCACCACTCCATCAAACACCTCCTCGATGAGTCTGTCACTGAGGTATGCTTAGACCCCTGGTACATCTGTGCATCTGAACTTTTGTTTGCGGGGAAATTGATTTTAGGGTTTGTTGTATGCAGATCGTGACCGGCAAAGGTTTCATTGAAGATGTAAGGATGAGTAACATCAGATTGCTGATGGGAAGCGTCATCATTATAATTGCTCTTTTCGCTCAGTTCTACAACAAGAAATTTCCTGAAAACCGAAACTTTTTGATCGGCTGCATCGTGTTATATCCTTTCAGAGTGTTCAATGTGGTCGTGATTGATAGAAATTTCATTCTAGTTATTGTCCTTCATTTTCTCTGCCATCTGAATTTATCTTTTTATGATAGAGACAGAAAATTGGTAGAGAAAAAGTGAGAGTTGATTTTTTTGCTTGTGTGTGTTCTGGGGAAATGCTGTCTTTTCCGGCTACTTTTCTTTATGAGAGATTTTTACATCAGAAAACACTCTTCAAGGGGAAACTTTCAGTGTCTGGTTGGTTATTCCTCTAAAGAAAACGGTAAGGGAGTGCTGTTGTATGTGGACAGTTTTAATAGAGTACAAATTTCGTATGTTTTGGAGCAAAAATATGAAGCAGAAAAGGATTCTAGGACTAGGAGGTGCAAATTATGGATATTGGATGGTGATTGATGCCATGACTTTAAAATTGCTTGTCTTAATCTGGATGTTTCAGGGCAATGCCTTTGGAGTGTGGGCATTATGCTCTTATTTGCTAAATAAATTTTCTATATAGGCTGTTTTACATTTTAAATTTTTATGAAAATTGTAAAAGGAAACATATTTGCATAGAATAAACACAGGCTGCATCATGTTTGTTGCCTTGCTCTATTTGACGGTTTATGGTTTATGAAGAATGAAGTCTATAAGAATACTACCATGCTGTAGAGCTTGACTGTTTATCTATCTTCAATTGTCTTGTTTGTTTTATCTTTGACTCTGGCAAGTATATTTTGTTCAACGGAATTCTTCAGCTGATCATACATACGAAGGAAAAGAATGCGATTTTATTCACCCATCCTCCTGCTGTAAGTTTTTCCATGTTTCTGGGAACTAGTTGCTATCAGGAATGTTTAGTTATCGCTGCATTTATCTCTGCTTTGGTATGATTGTTAGGAGAAGATTCCTTTTTAATTAAACACCGAGTCTGTTGCCCTATGTTTTAGACTTATCGGAACTAACACTAAGAAAAGGCTTTTACACTATTGAAAAGTTAGAGAAGGAGGTAGAAGCAAAGAGTAACTCCTTCAGGATGTCAGTCAGTGATAATATCTGTGTACCAACTGCTATCTATGACCAATTTGTCATGATCATTATATGGCTTTGGTGGGATGGCTAGGTTTGTGGTTTCTAGCATGATTTATGATATTCTTCGTATTTGTTTTGAAAAGAACCCATCTTGTGTTGCATTAGATAGAATTTGGCGCCATACAAGATAAAAATTTTATACTTCCTCTTTTGAGTTTTGATGCTTATGCCTGATGGGCCACCCTTTTTTATTTGGGAGAAGTCATTGAGATGTGAAGGTGGTGAAATGATGTAAATGAAGTGTTAAAGGAAACATTTGGCAAATTCTATATGATGCAATCAGGCTAACTGCGTACATTAGGAAAAATAGTCTCTTTACACAGGTCCGGTTTTTTGTCATAGTCTGAAGTTTGTTAGAGAATAGATTTATCCATCTCTAATTGCAGAGTGGGTCTGACAGTATTTTGTAGAACATATCACAAGTTGATACTTTCTTTACTGTCCTTCTTTTACTATTCAAAGTGTTTGTTGACTCTGACATCCTATTTTTTATAGAGTTTATCTTTTTAAATTATTTGATGGAAATTGAACCAAGCTATTTTATAGTTAGTTACCTAATTGTTAAAGTACTATTGCATTAGTTAGTTTCCTGGACTTCTTGTGTCGGTTAAAAAAGTTATCCATGTTGAAGTCAAATTAGTCTTCTTTAGGTTGTTGAAGTCTGAGTCTGATTTGTTTTCTATTGTTGGATTTTGATATTTAGGAAACTGATTAGTATATGTAAAGTACTGGTACTGCTAGAGTGGAGTTGTGTTTTTTGTTAATTTTTGAGTTAATATAATTGAGTATTCGTTTGTGTTTATTCTCCTCCTCTTCCCACATATTTTTTTTATGTGTTAAAATAGCTTCTGCTGTGCATGGTTTTTTGTGCCTATTGTTTAATGAAGCATGTAGGGTTTTACTAACTCTTTATGCCTGAAGGCCACCAAGTATTGGATTCAAGCTCTTGGTCCTAAGAAGGAAGTTGTGAATATAACTTGCAGAACATTTTTCTGTAATGTTTGCTTCTGCTACTAGCTTAGATATCACCTAAATGGAGTTCATGCACCTTGATGGATCATTGTTGCACTCTTTTCCTTTGATGTTTATGCCGCTAGCATCCTAATTGTGCCTGTTTTAACTATATTGGGGTCGTTCCTTCTTAGTGTATAATCAGACTTCAGAGGGGTAGATGTCTTGGTCTGGCAGGCTAATAGTCATATTGAGCACGGTTTGTGGGTTACATTCCAAATTGACTTTTTAGTTGGACTTGGGTTACCTCAAGAGGTAATTGCCTTTGCCACCTCTGATGAGGCTTCAACTATCCATTTGTAGTTAAGACTCTTTCATCTGTAATGGCATGTAGCTTGTGTAGCAAATCTACACATTAGTGATCTTTAACAAGTTAGCAAATACTTGAGCTTTCTGTAGCATTTGCTATTTGATTAAGTTTCCAATTTTAGATCCAAGTCCTTGAGTAAATTGCTGCTAACATTATGGATTTGGGATTTTTGTTTATGGTTGAGGGTCAAGTTGCTCAGCAAATTTATTCTGGGGATCTAACTACCTTTTGCAATCTTCCTGGTGTTTGTTGATTATCTTCCTTGTGTGATAAAATGGAGTGGCTGAGACCAGTGGATGCCACTTTTTTATGCTTTTCGGCTTTAATGTATTACTTGTGATGTTTTTAGGAATTTATTCTGCTTATGTGCCATGACTTTTCTAATCATGATGTTGGATTTACCAAATCTTCCCAAGGCCATTGTTAATTGTGCTGGAGGTTAGTCTTAATCTCATATGAAGAACCTTCCTTTTTAGAACTAAGATCCAGGCAATGCGCTCAGTTTTTTTTCCCTTTTTTGTAGATTAATAACCATAAACAACAGTTGCATGTGTTGTAAGAGAACCTGATGAAATGAAAGGCCAAAGGCTTGTTGCCCATGTAGACAAGTCTTTTGTGATCATCAGGGACATAACCTGCATATTTATTCATGAACCTCTTTCTTTGCGTAATGGAGAAGGTTCAGTAAATACGGTACATGACATCTTAAACGCAAAAAAAGGTGATGGTACTTTGAGTAGGTTACCAATTTTGCTGTGGGAGAAAAGTCTTGGCGGTTGATGAACCTTAATAATGCTAGCTGCAACAAAGCTTTTATCTTTTCATGAAAATGTCATATTTTCATGAAAATGTCATATTTTCATTGGCTTGTAACTTAATGTGGTGATCTTTTCTTTTTAAGAGGACCACTGAACGGTAATATTTTGTGATGATAGTCACCTTGAAGCTGTAATTTTTTTATTCACAGGAATCTTTTAGTAGCACTGGGCTAGTTGTCTCTTCCAAGTTGCCAAGGTTTTCTGACATGTACACACTTACCATAGCGAGTGCAGATCCTGATTCAATATCTGCAAAGCCTCAAGTGGAATTTACCAAGAGCGTTACCCAGTGGTCTCTCTCTATCTCCCCCCCAAAAAAAAACCCTATTTTAATTGGGATTTTCACGTGTTGCCAATTTTCAGGTTTCCTCATTGCTTTTGTGTTGTTGTTGCAGGTTCACAAAGGATGGAGTTTTGGTGGAAGGGCTGTTTTGGAAAGATGTTGAGGGACTAGTAAACGAGTATACTAGAGAAAGTAAAAAGAGCAAGTGACATTGCTCATCAGCTATACGTTCCACCGGGACTGAAGTAGGTTCTGTGACTCTTACATGAAACAGATGAAGTTGGTAAAGATTGTGCTTGTAAAAAAGCTAATGGAGCTTAGACAAGACTATTCAAAATATGTTTTGTGAACGGAGCAGAAAACAGTTCTGTTGAAATCCATATGGTTTTCATGATTCAACTGATGAATTTGTCAGGACTTGAATTTTGGACATCTTTATGGAACTTATAATACAATCCTGGCTTATCCATTACCAGTTGTTTAACATGCCCTTCCTTTACATTGAACACTTTTCTCTGTCTCAGGCTACTTGCAATGCTCATGATTTGTAATAAAAAATAGTTAACCAAACAGTGCTAGCTGATAATCCAAAAGAGCATAAATTGTGATGGTTTAGATCAGATATAATTCTTTAGCATAACATTTGCTCACTAAGCGTTTTTGCTTTGATGTTTGATTTGATCAATGATGTAGACATGTCGCATTTTTTCAATTTGTTCAGCCTCCCCTACTCCCATGATTGTCTCAGTCAGTATTGGTTCCATGTAACACAGCGTTGCATTGTAAACATCAAACTGTTGATTGCTCCATGTTGGATAAAAACCATGCAATGGAGCCAAGTCTAAGAGAACCCTGAACCATGTTAAAGCTAGTCTTGACGGGATTTCTTTATAAATGTAACACAACTCTGTAAGCGGGTTAACAAAATGCTGGTAGACTCGTCTTTAGACCTAGCAATTAAAGCAAGGTAGATCCACTCAGTTCGGCCTGGCCGTTTAATTCAAAATTCATAGAAAGACTTTTCTTGTGCCTTCGCTGATAATTGTCACTACCAATTCGACAGTCCTCCTCACTGAGAATGGTTTATATTTTTGTCTATTCTGCTTTTTAATAAATTTCTTTTCTTTTGTTTAGGCTAACAAGTGACTATAGGTTAGAATACTGGGCTAATTTGAGAAACCTCCCTGAGGTTTTCTGATAGTTTCAATGGGTACCACGAATTTTGAAAAACCTCGCTTGTGTCACTTTTTTAAGCTTTTTGTATCATTTACAACCCATTTAAAAATATAATATTGAAAAATTCATTTTGAGATAGTAAATATAATATCATCCCAAATATGTCCTTTTGTTGTCGTAATAATAAATAATAATAAATGAAAAAAAAATGCAGGTTTACTCTAATTCGACAAATTATAATGTGTTCTTTAAATGCCAAGAGTAAATATTTGATTGTTTATTTGAAGTTTTTATAAGTTACAAATATATATATATATATATATATATATTGCTATAAAGTATTTTGAGTTAATTCAAGAAATTTTATAAAATGTTTGTATTTTTAAACTTTTAAATTTTTGTCCAAATCGATGGTTGGAAATTAAAAAGATACAACATGCTAAAAATTATATAAATTTGTTTGTATTGTTTTTAAACTGGTGCAAAAAAATGTATGATCATGGTTGTAAATTATTACATGCTATTTTTAAGAGTATTATAAATCATTCATAATTTTAAGTAATTTATCATTTCTTGTCTGAGCCAATTACACAAAAATTATTAAAGATTTTTTCAATCTTGTTATCAACTTTAATTTTTCATTAAAGAACTACATCGATCAATTTACAAAAAATAAGAGATAAATTTGGCATGTTATGGCAACTAAGAAACCACAAGAAAAAAAAAAAGAAAATTTGGAATGAAATTGTATTCTCTCTCCCATAATGAGCTTTTTAATATTATATTTTGAAATGGGTTTCAAATATTATAAAAAAAAGTTTAAAATAGGAGAAATAAGTGAGATTTTTGAAAATTTGAAAGTGTCAGGTAAAACCATAAGAAACCTTAGATGAGGTTTTTGAAATTATTCCTAGAATATTTCCATGCTAAAAACTTGATCCTAACACGAGATCAACTAATATTTACAACCCTAACTCTCTATTTACGAACCAAAGAAAATCAAACCCAAAAGTAAAATGGGCACCGAACAAAAAAAAAAAAAGGAAGAATGACTTTGCACAACTCCCAGAATAGGGGAATATACCTTATCTTCTATTTGGGTGGACGGAATATACTAATTCAGGTCGTTGGTTGGCAATAATATGTTACGTTAAGTAGGGCTCTCTGATGTTGATAAATGAGGCTGAGTGTCGGTCCGTCATAATTCCTGGACCAACAACGTGTCGGATGTGGACTGCATTTGCATTCCCTGCATCGGCGTTTCGGAGTTTGTCAAATCAGATAATTGTTTCTGATATCTGCCCGTCGCCCTAGGCCCAGCCCACGCTACTACTTTTCCCAAGACTCTGGACGCTTTTATTAAATACTATTAGAAAATTACTATATGATGATTTTTGGTTCTAGTGAGCACACGTGCTACTGTCACGTGTTCTGTGCACGCTTCAAACTTTCTTCACTGTACTGCATTTCACTCATCCATGACCAGCCAATTTTTTCCAGTTCGACACAAAATATCAAATATTTATATATATTTATAAGAAAAAAGTATGTGGTTTCCCTTTAATAAAAAATTTTAAGGCTTTTCATTTTAAATGTAACATTTTAACAATGTATTGTACGTGACGGTTGAAAAACATCTTTCATGCTGTGACCAATAGCAAATATTCACTCTCCATTGGCGTAGATTTTTTACTTTATTTACAAATTCTTAGGCGTATTGAATATTCTCGGTATTTTGTCGACTTAGTGAGCTCTTTTGCACCATATACTCTGTTTATACAAAATCCTTATGATCCATAGCTGCAGCAGTTATCCCTCAACTTACATTTTTGTTTAGAATTTTTTGAAAATTTTATCCGTGGATGCAAAAGCATCGGTCCGATTCGATGGTAGTTCAATTTCCTCCGAATTTTTCATTAAATCTCTTTAGGTTCCACCATTTTCCTTAGTGTAGAGTAGGTATAGATTTAGTATAAAAATTATCGTATCCGGACAGCACAATAATGTTTGCATCCTTCGGATCTCAATACTCGTTAATTGTTATGTACCAACTTTTGGGTATTCAATTTATTGGAACATGAAGGAAATGATTTCCGGACATAACATGCTAGGAGACAGAAGACAATGTGCTATCATCATTATATCAACTACGTAAAGGTTCGTTCGCTTTATCTTAGGCAATGCAAACATGATTGGTGGCGGAAACGGTGGAAAGTAATTTGGACTCAGTAATATTTCAACATTCACGTAGAATCAAATATAGAAGGAGGACCTTTTCTTTAATTAATATACTATAAATGAAATTCAGGCCTCTCGCTTCCTTCTTCGTACCATCCAATCACATGGAGGACTTATTTTCTTAATTTATATGTTAGACGGCCGGTATTGTTAGTAGCAAATAGTAGTTATTTTAGATCATCCATTACCATGAGATTGTTAATTATTTCTTCATAGCTTGCAATTACTTGTTCTCAAACACATTACAGCTGACCATTGCAACTATATTGGGGGAAAAAAAATCTTATGTGACAATTACAAAACACGAGCTATTTCTATTTTAAGAAGTTTATTGTCAAGAATCACAAATTTGTAGATAAAGAAAAAGAAAAATGGGTAAGGGGGGAGGGAAGATAATACTACTAGTATATAAGAAGGGAGCTCAAGCGAGAAATGTCAAATTCCAAACCTACTGCTTACGCTAAAAAGGCCAAAAAAAAATCAGGCCGACAAGCGAAGAAAAGTGTAGTACGAAACATGCAAATAGCAAAAGCCGCCGGCTGTCTAAGCTGAGGTGCGATTTCACCGTGTTGCTCTGCAATTATAAGGCCGACACACGCAGCTCAAGTAGATATTTCTCAACATAAGCCAGGTTTTTAGTTTAATAAACACCCTCAGTTATGATTAAAGATTACTAGCCCAAGTAAACCCCTTCATCAAATTTTGTTTTCCGAGTTCCCGAGTCATTATCACATCTCTTATTAATTCCGTTGCTTTATTTATTTAGCTACTCTCTTCGTTCCACTTTGATAGTGCTGATTTTTTTTTCACACAATTTAATAAAAAAGTAATTAATTTTGTTAGAACAATTAATTAAGGTAACTATTTTTCTAAAATACCCTCACATTAATTAGAGTATAACTTTATGGGAACTTGAATTGATGGTAAAAAAAAAAAATCAACTAGAGTACAACTTTATGGAACTTGAATTGATAGTAAAAAAAGAATCAACTCTCATTAAATAGAGTAGATTTATAGTAATAATAACTTACATTGAATAAGGGTATTTCAGAAAAATTAAAATACAATCACATTCTTCAATTGAAAAGTGGATTATAATTTGGGACAGACGAAAAAGAAAAATAGGACTATTAAAGTGGGACGGAGGGGAGGATTTTTGTTTGAATGAAGATAAACAGAACAATAATCATATTCAAAACCAACCAACCAGCGAACGCTGTCGATGACCTGGAACTCCAATCTTCACCCCCATTGGTCCAAAGGTGGATCCCACCGCCACCCAAATCCATACATCAGCTGACGTCGTCACCCACTCATGATTGCCCACAGCTAATAGACCCCGGACTCCAAAGTCACCTTTGATTGCATTTCAGTAAAATTATTCAAGTCCGGGGGTCCCCCGTCCTCCCTATATAAGCGTCTCTCCATGCCTTATCATCCCATTTGCTGCTGTTAATCGTTCGGATATCGGAGAGGCGAATTAAATCATTGATAGTATCCATACATTTTAAAAGATTTTATATCAAATTCGCCGGCAATTCAGGAGAATTGGCTTAGGGTTTGGTACCGATCGAGGATATATTTGTTCGTGATTATTCGGAAGTTTATTAAAATGGATAACTCGGGAAAAAGCCAATCGATGAACGATCGGAAGATGAACGATGCAGAGGATCGCACCGATCGATCCAATGGCGGCAGCGGTTGTTCCGATGATTCGACATCAACCCTTAATGCTTCGTCTAGTGTATTGCGGCCGAGTTCTTCGATTTCGCGAGGTTCGGAGGTGACGACGGAGATCTCGGCGGAGGAGGGCGGGAATTTACTGCTCCAGCAAAGCGATAGAGTCGATAATCTTGTGCAGTGGCTTCGCGCGCTAGATGTGCAGGTTATCGGTGCTTGTCGCGCTGACGAGAGGCTGAAGCCGTTGCTCAAGCTGAATGCCTCCACCGGTGCGGCTGAAGATCGCTTGCTTGCTAAGTTGACCCAGGTACTTTTACAAAATATTCGTGTTAATAAGTTTTTGTGGTCTGATAATGATTAGTTTGCAAAGATTTAATGCTACCTTGCATTTG